TTTATTTTTTTACATGTCTAGGGACTTATGCATTATATATATGAACCAAATATGTAATTTAAGAAATAGTATTTAAACGCATACTAAATTTCCATCTATTTAATTATTGTTATTAGTAGTAGTATGACTATCTTTTGTAAATAGAGTTTAAAGTGTAGTAATCTAAATGAAAGAAGATATTAAATATGACAAGATTACTATCATTATATAAATATATTAATTATATCAAATAATCAAGAATAATTAGAAAGCAGAAGCGTAATGGAAGGATCCATGAAATATTCTTTGATGAAAATAAAATTCTTAATGGATTAATGATCTTCCAATGTAGACTATCCTTAATTTTTAGTTCCTATTCCAATGGGATGAAGATAATAAATATGACTTTATTGTTGTGTCCACAATTGGGGACATAACCCTTATTTATAAGATATGCTATGAAGAGTGATGTCTTTTGTATTTTTTTTATTTTTTATTTTTGCCCATCATAAAAATAGAAATAAGATATTTGATATTTACACAATAATTTTTATAATAAATATGTCTATAACTATAAACTTTACTTGAAGCATATCACTTTAATTTGGCTAATCAAAATAATGACACAAAACACATTTAAAAATGATATGTGTGACCCAAAATTTATTAGATAAAATGTATATAAAGGTATACACATCTTTTATCTATATTTTCTCTGTAGCCTTTTTTTCCTTTGTTTATCTTTCTCCCGATAAAAAAAGAAGGTAATATATACTTTTAATCTACATTTTTATTGTTTTCATCTTATCTTCTCCTCCTTCAACTTTTCCCATTTTTTAGAATAAAAAATAAAATGAGCATTTTAATTGATTATATATCATATATATAAAAATTAATTTTCCTCGAAAAACTTGATAACGTTGTTCCTATTATCATTTATTTTTCAATAATAATATGTTACATTTAAAACTATAACTTTATGACAATAACTTCAATTTATAGGATCCAGGCATTCTGCAGCAGGCATACATATAATGATCAATGTGTTGCATGGATAATTACTCCTACCACTTTCCCAAGACAGACACAACTCATACCTTAACCGCACAATCATCCATTGACTTATTTAGATATAATAAAAAATATAGAATAGATATTGCGTTATAATTTTCAATAAATTTATAAAATTAAACCTGATCATATTTTTCATATTTTACATAATATCATTTTAAGCATAATAAAAAAAATAGTATATCAAATCAATTGAGAAGACATTAAACTATTTAAATATCACTTTTCATTTCTTAATTGTGTATTTAATTTATACAACAAAAAACATAATAAAGAAAATAATTTTTACAACAAAATTAAAAGACAATATAATTTTTTATAATAGAGAATTTCACACAACCAAATTTAACATAATAATTCACAAGTGTTGATAAAGAGCATATGAATGATCTTCAAAGTTCAAACAAAAAGTAAAACATAATGATCATATATTACGACAGTGACTATATTTTAACATAAAAACTCATTTTAAATTTGAGTCTATATTACCATTATTATAAACCAATATGATGTTATTTTTTATAGTATCCAAATATTTATATATTAAAATGAAGTTATTAGTTATATTGTATTAGGAAATGAAAGTAAGCAATTTAATAAATTAAATAAATATTTTTTTCTATTACGTGGGTCGGCTTACCACAACCCACAACCCGCTTATGGTGGGCTTAAACTATAATTTAACATGGATAAATTGTATCTAGACTTTTAATCCAATTCAAATTAGTCTAAACATGACGTAGGATAGGCCGAATCCATTCCGATAGTTATTTTTAACCTCAAATGCCATCTAAAATTTAACATTGGAGCTTGTTGCCCAAGGAAGAATAAATTCAATGGCGGCTTAAGGATATTGATATGAAAAAGTTTTGAGTTTTTTGACCAAAAAAGGTTGAATGGGACACGCAAAGGTGAGCACAATTCCCAACTGTGCCAACATTTCCCTTGCTCCACAAGTTCACACTCTAGAATTACTTTTATGTGTGCCTCACTACAACTACTAATTTGGTCCAAAATGCTAAGAGTAATACTATATTTTTCTACAAAAATTTTTTACCACAAAAAAATGATATATATTATAAAGTGATACTTTATTTATTAGTGATTGGTTTACAAGTGATACATGTCACTTTTTTTGTGAGTATGATGATTTATTAGGAGAATATATCATTTTCCAAACTTTAATTAATAGACAAACTTTAATTCAATGGAAGTGTTGGATAAAATTTATTTTCAGTTTTCCTTTTAACTGAATAAATTAATTCGATATCACTAAATGACCTACCACCTAAGTATTGGAAAAACATGAGAAGGGTGAGAAAAGAGAGAGAAATGTAAACAATATATATAGGATTTATTTATTTTGATGATTAAATATATAATTTATTGAATGGATTTTTTGATATAATTTGAGTACAATGCCACTTATATAATTAAGAGAGAAAATGTAGTTAATTCATCTAAACCTTTTTTTATAAACTTTAAATATATGTAATCCTAGATATAAATACCTCGTTACATACTCAATTTCAATACATGGAGCGTTCAAAAGGCATAAATTTCAACACAGTATTATTTTTATCATAACCAATATATTCAGAGCAATCATTAGAATGATCATTTTCAAAATGTTAACTTATAAACAATTATTTCAGTAGAAAAATGATAGAAAAAAACAACATTAATTACAGCCTACAAATTAATTACTGTACTAAAAAATGATTACAGTATTTTGTTAATCATTTTGATTACAACCATAATCTTAATTTGTTTTATTTCTCTTGATTTTAATCATAAACATAAAATATTTTTCATCATTAACAAAATAGTAATTTATAAATATAATTAATTATTGATAAATTTTTTGTCTTTGCATATAATCATATCCTAAAACTAAGGTTTAATTATTTTGAAAATATAGCATAAGTGTTTGTTCCAGAGTTTAAGGATCATCCTGTCCTTTGTTAATCGTAAGTAACAAAAAATGCTTATGTACTAAAGAGATTATCATTTGATGTAAAAGCAACTTATTGACAATAATTATTAAAAAATAAAATAAAACGAACATAATATAAGCAACACGAGTGCTTTGAAAAATGATTGTAGATAAAAGTATAATCAATATACAGGTTATTATTGAACATGAATATCAAATTTATAACAAGAAAATAATTTTTAATTTTTATACATTATTTAGTAAAATTTGATTGGTTTAAAATATTGGCAGAAAAATTTTTGGGAGAGAAACTGTTATTCCTTACTAAATAATGGAACACGGATGGAGTGACTAGTAATGTGCAAGTAGAAAATTTGAATGACCCAAATTGATCAATTAACAAAATTTAAGGAAAAATAGCCTAGAGTAAAAATAGGTAGAAAATATGGTGTTTTTTTAGTTGTTTGGAATGGTGGAGAATAGAAAGACATTTTAATATTAATGACATATTAAGAATGAAGTAATCACTTTTAAGAAGCATATGTATTAGTTTGTTTTCTTTGGAATTTTAGGTAATTAATGACATTTATAAATACAACTAACACGAAATACGAATTTTTTAAATGCATAAGAGTTAACCACAATAAAATCGGCTAACAGTTTTTCTCCTAATATTGGAGAAAAAACATAATAATATGAGTTCACAATGATAAGTCATTTTTAAGCATATCTCTATTTTTTGTTACCACCAATTAAAAAGTTTAACTCAAACAAAAACAAAAAGTTCTTAACAAAAAATAAAAAAAACTAATATTTTTATTAGTTAATAAATTTTGATCGGTTAGATAGTCAATGGAACCTGTTCCTATAAAAACCGAAGCAAGTTCTGAAGGCACATTCATCAACTATGGACACCACTCTTTCTTTTATCAAAATAATGATATGACCAGCCCAATCTCTTTTCCATCTCAACAACATTGACCAATATCAGAGGCATTTCTCTACAGAACTCCACTCCTTTCTTCAATCCATACCCCGTTTTATTTTTCTAAAACTACAAAAAAAACAAATAAATTTATGGTATTTTTTTATTTTTTATTTTGTGATGGTTTACTATATTTTGGAAGGTAGGGTAGCATGATGATATAAATATGAAGTTCATTGTCATTTCATAATAATAACTTCCATAAGCCTATTTTATTTTCAGATATATTATTTTCTTCTAATGACCTCTATCTTTTGCAATATGAAAGAGAGAGAAAGATCACAAGGTGGCGGTGATGAAAGTGACATGCTGACATCGGTTGAGAATTTATCATGATGATCAAACACTTCTGAGCTACTCTATCTTTCTTTTCCTCAAACTATCTTACTAAAATGTCACATATGGTTCGTGCAGCATGTTAACCAGCTATGTACTTTGAAAATCTATTCTTGCTTCTGGGGTGCACAACCACAAATGATTCTTTGGATTTTCGGTAGACAATTACTCTTAATTCTTAAGTTTCAGAAAGAAATTTATCATTTTTGTTGTTCTTCTCCTATATGAGATATTTAAAGTAAACTAGTTCTAAATGTAGTTTTACTTTACTTACCTTTCTAAAACAGTATCAATTCCAATTTAAAATACGGGTTAAGTTCCACATAGCATAAAATTAAGTATCTAAGGATGATGATTTTTTGTAGGCCGACTTCAATTATTTTAATCGGCCCATTTCCAATATTGGCCCAATCGATTCGGGTCAAGCCTCTATGAAACCCTAAAACTAACACAAAACCCTAGCCTCTCTCTGACGGACCTAATCGGCTATAAAATCAAAGCATGTTCAGCCACAATAGCCACCGCTTCTTTGCATCAGAAATTCGCTTCCTTTTTTCTCTGTTTTTTTCTTCTTTATTAGTCAGTTATGGTTTCTTTTTCATTGTTGCAGTTTATATGTTGTCTATATTTGATTATTATTGTTCTTTGAATAGTCTTTGATGTAAGAAGAGGAAAGGTTATAAGTTGTGGATTTCTCTGTGATGATGAACAATGATGACGAGTCCGATCCATTCTTAACAATGTGACGACAATTCGAGGCATTTGTCTGAGAGGTTTCCACTCCTTATATTTTTATCTACATTTTCAAAACCGATTGAAGTGATTTTTTAATTTCATATTATTTATTTTGTTTTATCTGTTTGCTTTTTCGATTTTATTTTCTTCTGATTATTGGCATGGTGATGATGATCTTTATTGTCATCTGATAATTCACATGACGAAAAAACACCTCCTACTCATTCTGAATGCCCAATTTCTTTGCAATTTAATTTTTTAGGTTTATTGTGCATTAGAGAAAGATTATAAGGTGGCTGTGATGAGAGTTACAATTTATTTATATTGAGAATTAACGATGATTTTTTTCAAGCACTTTTGAGCTACTGTGTCTTTCTCTTGTCTATCTTTGACTGAAATGATTACTTCGTTGCTCAAGTTTCAAATTCATTTATTGTTCTTAAACTTGTCACTAATTCTACATATCGCTTGCTAACTTTGGTATCCTATTATTTGGATTGTTAATAATTTGAGCGGTACTTGGAACTTTGAATCTTTATGTATGGTGTGTGTTTAAATGTATGAAAATTTTGCAGTGTAATTTTATGTCATGGATTTTATCCTATTTTATTTGTCACGAATTTCGAAAATATCTCTTTGGATTTTTAAATAATTGTTGTCCTGTTTTTCTGATAGTTTGATGGACGCGTTTTTTCTATACAGATAGCATTATAATGGCTGATATTAATCGCCGATTGTAATATATGTTATTTATTCTTGAATCGTTTTACCATTAGACACTTTAGCGACCATGCTTATGTCAAAGAGAAGATCTTTGTGGAAGGAAGAAATCTACTGACATAAAGTGGAAACCCTGTGCTCTAGCTGCAGGAAAATCTTCCTTGTGTCCGTTTCGCCTAATGAAGTTGTACATCTATGACATTATATATCCGTTGTTATCATGTTTCACTTCATTGGCCATTGTGCTAACATTTACTTAAGTTTTATGCATTGGTTCGAAGGAGTTCCAAATTCTGCTTCTTTTGATTAAATTTACTATTAGATATTGTAATCTCTTTCTTTTCAAAAAAACATTTGTAGCTTCGATCAGTTGTGTTGAAATACTAAATTTATCCAATAGTAGTTACTGTTATTGGTTTTGTTTTTGTCTTGGTTTATTGTTTCATCATGTTGAAATTTAGCAAAAGGTATTCATATTTTAAAATATTGTGGAATGTATCTGTTTGTTGTGAATTATTTTTTTAAACGAAATATATTAAAACTGTTTGTCTATAGTATGATTTCTTTTCAGTGATTAAATAAAAGATCAGTATCACCGTGTAACATTATACCTATCCGCTAAAATTAGACATGTGGTTTAGTAATGGCAGTAAAGTCAGTCTAACAGAGAATAGTTTCTGAATCTTATTGCATTTTTCTTATTGCCTTTTATAGATGGTTTTTTTTTAAATCTGTCAATATTTATAAATGGATTTTTTAATAGAATAGGGTTGAATCTATTTAGAAACCAAATAACATCAAACTTACAAAGTTAAAAATATTAAACGAAATTAGAAAACGGTAGTTATAACCCTTTGGTTACTAAATCATTTATGTAGCGATAGTTGGTGGTATAACCCAATGTTACTAAAATCGTACCGGTTATCAAATCGGTTAGGGTACTGGTACAGTGGTACAATGGTTCAATCAGTGGTTCAGTAATTAAATTGTATGCCGTTTAAATCGAACATACTTGTTTATATATATATATATAAACCTATAAATTTTTTTTTAAATAAGTTGATATTCATATTTATAATTCATAATTTACTTTAAATTCACACAAACAGTTTTAATAAAATCAAAGTTTAAAGTGCAAAACATATATTAATCCAAAATTATTACTTAACAAATACAAAATACAAATAAATGACCCAAGTATCAATCATTTTAGTTGAAGAATTGGTGAAGAATTGAAAATTTGAAATTTAAAATTTTTTTTTTTACAAACGACTGGTTTTAAACATGTTTTGATCTGTTCTATCTGCGGTATAACATACATACCGGTTAGGGGTCCGGTTTTCCAGTTGAACCGGCTAGTACGGTACTGTTTTTAAAACATTGGTATAAACATGTGCTTAACATTCTTTTCCTTATTAACAAAAGCACCTTCTCTGTTCTATCTGCGGTATAACATTCTTTTCCTTATTAACTATACTTTATGGCCAGTTCTAACCTGCGAACTGCAGGTTAGTTCGCTTCTAAGCGAACTATAAATAATATCCGTACGATTTTATTTAAATCATTTCAGCCGTTGGATATGTTACTGGGTACCGGCGGATTTTTGGCTAAAGTCGGTTTGGGCCTTGGTAACATAGGTGAGAAGTCGGTTTGGGCCAGACCGACTTCTGTTGATAAGTTACACGGGCCCAAATCGACTTTTGTAGGTTGTTGTAATCGATTACATCATAGTTGTAATCGATTACATCATAGTAGTAATCGATTACATCATAGTAGTAATCGATTACATCATAGTAGTAATCGATTACATCATAGTAGTAATCGATTACACTATTTTAGTAATCGATTACACTATTTTAGTAATCGATTACAACATATTAAAGGCATCAGATCTGTGCATTTTGTATTATGTAATCGATTACAATATAACAGTAATCGATTACACTATTTTAGTAATCGATTACAACATATTAAAGGCATCAGATCTGTGCATTTTGTATTATGTAATCGATTACAATATAACAGTAATCGATTACAATATTTTAGTAATCGATTACAACATATTAAAGGCATCAGATCTGTGCATTTTGTATTATGTAATCGATTACAATATAACAGTAATCGATTACACTATTCTAGTAATCGATTACCACATATTAAAGACATCAGATCTGTGCATTTTTTAGTATGTAATCGATTACACTATAACAGTAATCGATTAAAGCATCAGATATGTACATTTTTTCACATTTTCCCCCAAACCGACTTCTTATAAGAAGTGAGTTTTCCCCAAACCGACTTCTCAAGTCACACCCCCCAAACCGACTTCTGTACAGAAGTCTTCCCCCACCAAACCGACTTCTAAAAGGTCACTGGCAAGTAACAGGTAATCTAATAATTTCATCAAACGGCACATAATCAGTTCGTTTCAATGCGAACTAACCTGCAGTTCGCAGGTTAGAACTGGCCATACTTTATTTGTAGAAATAATAAAAAAATTACATTTGACTAAGTCACTGTGAGATATGATTCTGTCATACTTTCCGTAATTTCTTTTTCCAGTTATTTATTCGTCAGTCCTTCCAACCTCTATTTGACATCATTTTTCTTTGGACGAGGCAGTCTCGTCTTATGATTAATTTGACAAAAGTTTATGAACGAAGTGCCAGGGTCGTTTGGCACAATCGCCAGTTTTGCTCTCCGTTTTGGACAGACAGTTTTCTCATCCTCTTCCCTTCTATTAATGTTCTATCATATTGATTTCTTCCCCTTCACTGCTTTCTTGTTTCTCTCCCTCATCCAATTCTATTTTTTATCTCTAGTTACCTCCTAACACTTCCTTCACTCAATTTCTCGGCCAGTCCTTCAAATAATCAAATTTGATGAATTTTTTAGGACAGGTTACAAGTAAATTATTGCTTCCATCCTTTTTTAGTTGTTATATACACTTTGGAAGGGTTGATTTTGCAAATTATGTACTTGTGCTAGGTTTTAGTTGTTTGCAATAAGTGTATTGCTCAAGTTGCGCATCTATGATGATTGATCATATTAGAGATTTTATCATTCATTGAGGCACATATGTCTCTCTCCTAACTCATGGTCCAAATATTTACGATTTGTTATGGTGAATGTTATTGGTATGTTGCAAGTCTACTCTTTTACTTTGTTTTGTGACTGAGGTAGTAATCTCAACTGATCATATAATGGAAAAGACATTATTTTCACTGGCCTTGGAATTATTTTTAAGGGACTTCTTAACGTCAAAGTAGAGTCTTAAATACAATGGGGTTTTGAGTCTTAAATTTGAGTCTAAAGTAATTTGTTTCCAAGACTCCAGCTCAAAACTCTGTTGTGATTGTGGGACCCTCCAAAATTTACTTATATAATTGATTTTGTACCACATCATTGGCATGGTACTTTCATGGAGTCTGAATTTGAGTCTCAGCATTGAGACAGAGACTATAGTTGTATCTTAGTAAGAGAAATGTTGATATAACTGAGCGTTAAGAGTCTTTCTGATATAGGTTTCTGATTTATTCTCATAGAAGTTTATACATGCCATTATTGTTGATATCAATTGTCAGCTTCTATGGCCTTCTTAACCTGGTTTCTTTCATCTGCTTCCTGCCTTTTTAACTTTTGGATTTTGCCTTCGTTGCTATAAAACATCTTGCTCGCTGTTGATATGCACATGAGTGTAAAGTTTGACATATTTTTTGTTTCCCTGCAAATAACCATTAGTAGTTCATATAATTGCTTTTTCAATGAAAGGGAAATTACTTGTTTCTGAACGGCTTCCTGCTTTTCTTTTTCTTCCCCCAAATCTCTCATATGAATTATGTTTCGTAATCATAATAAAGACATTGAGCATAAATTTAATTTCCTGCAATGTTTGAATGATTTATGTACTACTATTATCCAAGGATATCTGGTTAAGTTTTGCAATGATAGTGAAGACTAAACATATGGTGTGCATCTCTAGTTATAATGAGAAAATGGAGTAGGAAGGGGTGAGTTATTATGAATCTAAGAGATGATCCTTGTGCACTATGTTTGGACTATACCTGTCAAAATGGGCCGGGTATAGTTGGCCGGCCTGCCAAGGCCCAAAAAGGTATAGAGCTTGAGTACTAAAATTTGAGTATTTTAGTTAAACCGGACTTTTTAGCCCGGCCCGGCCGGGACACAATAAATTTGGGTTCGAGCCGGACTTACCCGTTCGGGTTTGGGCCATTGTCTACTCATTTTCTTCCATCTCATTTGGCTTTTCTTACCTGTGCATTTTACATGATGTAATCAATTACAATATACTCGTAATCGATTACAACATATGAAAAACATTAGTTTTTGCTGATAAACTAATCAGACATGTGCATTTTACATGATGTAATCGATTACAATATACTCGTAATCGATTACAACACATTAAAAGCATCAGTTTTTGCTGTTTTTTAAACAGTGTAATCGATTACACAATCATGGTAATCGATTACAGTGTTTAAAAAACAGCAAAAATAATGCTTTTAATATGTTGTAATCGATTACAATATACTCGTAATCGATTACAACATATTAAAAGCATCAGTTTTTTGCATCGGTGTAAATAATAAAATAATCCGGGCCGGCCCGCCGCAGCCCGCTTTGGGGGGTTTGGACCTCATTTTTAGCAACATAAAATATAACCGGGTTTTTTAGTCCGACCCGTTTTTGCCCGAATCAAAAGCGGGCTAGCCCGAACCCGTCCGGGTAGCCCGTTTTGACAGGTATAGTTTGGACAAATAATAATAATTGGGAAAATTTAGTTTAAGCGACACAGTCATAACATCTGCATCTGCTCTCAAATTCCAATAACATATCTTTCACAGTCATAAGAGTTCATAATCTAGCAGCATGTTGGGTAAATTATTTGGATTAGAATGCACACAAGTGCTGGCAATGCGAATAAACAACTCCACCAATCGGTAGCAACGTTCTTTATCTGTTGGATATGGTTTTTATTTGAGTGAGTACCATTGCCACCAAATTCAATCTATAGAGTATCAGCGGCGCCATGCATTATATCTTTGTGTTCAATCATTACACATGTCTAATCATATAGAAACAATATTTAATGAATATTAAGAATATAATATCTATGTATTATTCGTGTAAATATTTATATTAAGTCAATATATTATTCATTATTTATTTGAATATAATATCACTTGAATATTAAGAATATAATATCTATGTATATTTTTTCTCAAATATTAATCATACAAATTTACGGGGAGACACCCTCCTTGTGATTTTAATAAATAAAGAACATATGGTGATGCATCTATTTATAAAATATAAGAAACAAAAGTTCTTCCCAAATTACCATTGACACATGATAACTTTCCCTTAATTTATTTGCCTCCAAAATTGGTCTATATTCTTATTATGTATCATCATATATTGTATTAAATCTATATAATTTT